TATAACGAACACACAGAAGTCACGTCTGAGCTCACCTTAACACCTTGGCAGCTATCAGCAGAATCGCCATATGGCCATCATGCCCACATGCATGCATAACCCCTTCGTTAACTGAGGCAAAGTCCAACCCCGTTTCTTCCAGCAGTGGTAATCCGTCCATATCTGCACGCAGAGCTATACAGGGGCTATCGGAGTCGTCTGCGCCTCCTTTGAGTAATCCCACAACTCCGGTGATTCCAATTTCTGAGTGTTTTGAGTAGGTTTCTGAGTGAGATAAAATCACGCTTGCATCTATCGGCGCATATTTGAAGGCAATTGTTAACGGGTGATTAATAATTATACATGGCAAACTTTTCAGAGGTATAATCGATCTATATAGCAACACTTCTTCACACAGCAGACAAACCCCCCGGCTTGAACATCTCACTAACACGCTTATGCTATGGGCAATCGTGCAAAGGAACCAGGGCGGAAATTTCAGTCATTAATTATGGTGCATGCGCTGAGGAAGGTAAAACAGACTATATTAAGATTGACGATACAATTCTTCAAGGGCGGAACAAGAACTGTTTGATATATACACATGGATGTATGCTTAAACATGTGCAACCACATTTTCATGTACGCATATGCATAAGCATGTGTAACGGCACATACATTCCGGTGCTACTACTTGCTTGATGTTGTCGCAATAACATACCAGTTGATACCTCCATTCCCAGATCTGTCAGATATTTTGCAACATATGCGGCTGTTTCGAACTCTTTGTAGCCCATTTCAGGATGTTTGTGGAAATGGCGGCGAACATCTGCGATATAATTGGAGACAACTTGGTCAATTACGTTGCCTCTATGTATAATACATATTAACCGAGTGGTTATACTCGCATTATATTAAACAACTATACAGGTACAGGTACAGGTACAAAGTACAATCATGAACATGCCATATACATTGACACATTTCAACCGACGCCGACCCCTAGACTTGAATATTGTCGTGTCGAACGCTGCAGAACGCTGCAGAAGCTCCAGCTAGAATTTTGCGATTGCTACTGTTGGGTAAATAGGTGGTACCCAGTACTAACGGGACACGCCTCACTGATTCAGGACACGATCTAATACTAGAGCGAACAATCGAATACACGCGCGAGTAATCGAAGCAAGCACGCAAGCGACATAAGATATATAATTGAACACGTGTACGTCAACAAAGCAATTTGACGAAAGGTATGCAAGCTAGCATACGTGTGTCAGAGAGGCAAATACGCATAAGTTGTACCCACTACAGGGATTTCTTCAAAGCCACAGGTAGACTTTCAGACGATGTCGACGTACCTATAAGTTCTTGCCGAAGCTTCGCCACCTCAGGGTGGATGTTACGCAGTGGTTCTGCCATAGTATAACGTTACAATAACTGTTATTTATTTTAACTGTTACTGTATTGTTGTAATAAAAATACTTGGGGCCTGGAACTCGTCAAATACGTAACACACTTGCACACAGTGGAGTGCAGACTGCAGTCTCTGCAGACTCGAGACTTAGTATTAGTCAGTTAGTTATGACTTGAGGGGGGTGGGTTTTAAACGGGATCAGAAATTTCTGGGTTTGCACGTTCAGAATCAGAAATTTATATTTAACCCAATTGGGAGACCAGAGAATATTCATTTCAAAAAAATATAAACTTTTTCTAATCAAGGACAAAATTTCGAGAACAAAAATTGTTCTTGGGAAATGGAATCAGAATCAGAAGTCCTTATTCAGAAGCTTTTACGGGAACTGCGATTTCAAGTCCATAAACGTACTTTCAAACTTGTGGCATTTTTTTCAGTAATTGATACTGATTGGTGAATAATTGGAAACCCAATACATGGTGTCTTTAATGATGAGTCACTTCTATCAGAATTCTCTGAAATGTACGGGAACAAATTGCACCCAAAATTGCCGGCAGACCCAAATTTTCAAAAGTTCACATTACGTCACCCTGCACCAAAATTGTATTTTAAAATACTTTCTGTTCTTTCTGATTCTGATTCTGATTTTTTTGTTTTTTTAAAGACACCCTCTGAGACAAGTGACAAGTCACACAAGTCAGTGTCACAAGTGAGAGCAGGATTCCCGATTCATTTGTTCACTTTTCAGAAGCCCACCATAGATATGCCCACCTTTTAGACCCACCATAACTATAGCAACCGTCACTTTTCACTGTTTTCAGAACTCCTCACGTCCCTGATCAGTCAAGTGATCTGAGGGATTGTTGACGGCTGGGCCAATAGATTGAACAGAGTGAGGAACTAATGAGGATACTTCAATCAAAGTCGGGTTCATGACGAACTGACGACTCGTCATATTTTGATGCGAGCTGAGCGGTTGTTTTTTTCTTCTACATAGTATAAGATCCCTGACATCCTGATCCCGATTTGATCGTGGCCGGCAATCCCAAGATTCCACAAATCCTTGGCCAAACCCAGAAAGGCCTGAGTCCAAAAATCCTGACTAGAAACCCTAAACCCTTCCCAAAGATTTAGACCAGATTTCTCAGTAGTATCCTTTATTGATTTTTAGTCTTAGCAATCCTCCTCTATCCTTTTTCAATCCTCTGTGTTAAAGCCTGAGGATTGCAAGCTACTATACTACCCTATTTATACAATTTCCGATAGACCCGTAGCGGTCTAAAGCTCTACAACTAAGCCTATATGTCTACGTAATGTCTACGAACTTTAACTTAAAGATTGTAGTCTCTTCGCACGGTAGTCAGCATCAGCGGTAAAGTTACGGATCGCATTGATACGTGACTTGAAACTATTACAAGTGCTTGCGGTCCCAGTCCATTTCATCTTCACTAATGCTGGATCTAAAGTTCTCTAATCCTTAGGGCAGAGTTTCTGCAATGTAGTGAAGAACTTCTGGCAATCCCCAAACCAATCGGCCCCTTGCTTGGTCTTAACATATCTGGCAAGATCGTCAAAGACCTCATTGAACCATTCAGATAAAGTTCATGAGCTCCTTCAATGTAACAAGTGCGCGTATAGTTTTAGTTGTACCAGGAGAGCTGCCTACTGCAAGCTTAAGTTGGTCGCGATGCACACGGACGTTGGTACCACCTGGAGCACGAACATCTTAGTGGTCCCCATCGTAAGGCCCACGTGTGGCATACATGTCCTTATCAACCCATACTGTAGCCATCTTGTCGGAGATATTATCACGGCGCTTACAAACGACACCCCCTATCTCTAACGGTGAAGGATTAGTAGCGTGAACCTCAGCATTAGCGATGCATTTCTGTTGCACCTTCTGCAAGTTACTGCGGGCCATGTCGAGTATCTTGCATGATGTACCGTCCTCCTGGCGGAAGAGCATCTCGACGGGTGACAACTCCGATCCGCTGTGAACCGTTCGATTGTGGGCCAAGATAATCTCCCACAACTCCCTATTACTATTAAGTGAGGCCATCGACTTACTGAGCCAATCCTTTAGGGTTCTGTTGGCGCGTTAAATCTGACCATTAGCTTCGTGTCTCTCAACGGTGGTGTAATGAACGTGCACACCAATTCTACCCAAAAAAAAGCGATGAACTCAGCATTGTCAAATTCTTTCCCGCAATCGACTGTTATCTCATCAGGGATACCAAACGCCAGCGATATGTTTTTCGTCGCCTCTAGGTTTGCCAATGCGGACCGATCACTTAGCATCAGACCCCATAGCCATTTCGTAAACTTGTCCTGCGCGAGAAGGATCATACAAATGCCCGCTTTCTCATTACGGGATACATAGAAGACATCCATATGGATTCTTTCCATGAACCTCTCGGCTTCCTATCCTGCAGCGACACCAGTATGAGCTAGACACTTGTCATGACTGGCCAGCTATGTGTTGGTTGGTTACATCCTTGTTAAGCAAGGACATTCGTAGCCCTGGACTGAGTTAAATTTTAACTGAACCAGCTGAGAACACGCCCATTCCCATTCAGAGTTATATTCTAAAGCTAGATGCTGACCTGATACGTCCAGATATAACAAAGGACAAGGCACAGCGATGGTACGAGTTCTTGGTTCTGCACGTGTTCTGTAAGAACATAGGGAATAATGACCGTGAGAGCCTGTACACCGAGTTGCGATGTAAACACGCAACTGAGGCTCGAGACAATGGACATGGAACAAAGTTTTATCTATCCCGACTTACGTGGGAACAGTTTTATGTTACTTTATCTACCCTTTTCCCCGCACATCGATTAATATCGAAGGGAAAAGCGGCTGTTAAGAAGTTGCGGGAGCTCACCGATCACAGGTACGTATCCAGGCAGTCCTCAAACGAGAGACCCCAACATACACGTGGTCGCGACTCCACTCTATCCACGCGACCCAATAAATGGGCACAAAAATAAGTGTGGATATGAGATGTACCAATTAACCCCTAACGGTTATTGGAATGGCAGACATGCAACCACCTGTACACACTTTCTTAATAAGTGTGACAAGTGTGCGAAGACCAATGGCTATCACACTAAGTCTTGTGACCGAAAGCCCAACAAAAGGTTGGAGTGACGGTACTACCAGGTACACTCATTACACAGACAATATAACGACTCTTTAGATGAGCGTGTAATAATCCCTGTATATTGCAATGTAAATAAAATCCTTGCGTCGATTAATCCTGGTTCAGAAATATCATGTATATCCGATCGCTTTACATTAATGAGAGATATCGAAAGGAGAACACAAACAACTCACCTCATGTTAGCTGATGATAAAACTTCTAAGTGTGATACCATGGCCACAGATGTTAAAATCTCCCTGGCCGATGATAAGAGTATCACTACCCAAGCTATGATAGTTAATATGTCACAGAAGTATCACTTTAGGTATAACCGTAATTGGTCTACCAAATAACGTAGATCCATTAAAGAATCAGTCAGACGATAACTGTCTGAATACAGTCAAGGCATTAATACCTGACTTTGCAGACAAAATCATGGATCTAATTCTTGTTAATAAGAAAATAAAGATCACAGATTGGGCAAAATTACGTTTTGACGACGGGTATGTCAGCTTTGACTTAACCAAGGTAGACTTTACACAGTTAAAGTGTCCCTCAAGGAACTATGTATCCTGGAGACACGAGGCTGTGGTAAAAGAACAAGTTGAGAAATGACTAGCAGATGGAGTGATAGAAATTAACTATCAACAGACGCCAGCTAGCTTGGCACTGCTAGCTGTAGACCAACATAACTCTGACGGATCGTTTAAGAAAGTCGGAGTATGTTTAGATGTGAGTCCAATAAATAAATTATTGCCGACTCATAGCTTTCACCTACTTTGTATTAACGAGCTACTGCGAAGGATGGAAGGTGCTACAGTATTTACAACTATAGACTTTACACAAGGATACCATCAAATGCAGGTATATGAACCCCGCCGTAAATACTTTAGTTTTACGTGGAAAGGTAAACAATACAAGCTCAGAAGTGCACCTTTCGGATTACACTTTTTACAAGCATTTTTTCAATAAGTAATGGAAGAAATGTTTGCAGACATGCCTAACGTGCAAGTCTACATAGATGACATAGTCATCTTTTCTAAAACTAATGGCGAACACGCCGCATTAGTCAGACGAGTCATTAAGAGACTCATCGAGCAAAACTTCAAGATTAACGCGAAGAAATGTCACTTCGCCATGGGCGAAATACAGCTCTTATGCTACCAAATATCTGGGGAAGGTATTGAAATCGACCCCGGTAAAGTAGAACACCTGTTAGATTGGCGAACACCAACTACAGGAAGAGATGTTAACAGCATGTGTGGGTTTGTAAGCTTCTTTTCAGATGGAGTACTACACTTGGCTGATTACCTTAAACCTTTTGAACACTCAAGATATCATAAAGGCAAACTAGGAGACTTGTGGACTCGAGAGTGCGATGACGCATTTAAAGTGCTCAAACACGCAGCCCAACAAGCTCCAGTTGTACATGGACCAGTCAATGGCGTGAGTCGCATTATATGTGTATACGCTTCAGGATTGTCTTTCATTAATCCCTTTAAAAATAAGGTTTGAAAGACCTCGGGCTTGGACTTTATGTTATTAAACAGAGTCCTAGCTAGAGACTGACGCTACTTAACAGTGTCATTAGTAGATTGTATTTCTTATGCACAGACGTTAAATGCTATGTTGTCTTTGAACTGTTTAACGTTCAATTGGATAGAAAGTGGAATCTCTGATTCTTTGACCTTGTTAAAGAAGGTCTCAGAAAGGGTCCATTTGGTTGTTCCAATGGGACCTATACGACATATAATAGTATGTCTCCAGGGCGTCTTCTGGACGGCTCGGGTACCCTGATATAGGAAAGTGTCTACTTCCCTATCTAAATATATTGGCTCGCATTGAATCATGCGGATTAATTTATTGAGCCATGGATGTTTACTCCGTAATGGTCAACACAACGTGATGGTGGCTTTATGTTTATGTACATAATTTAATAACTGGGCAATTAACTGCCCATGGCGAATTAGCCCACGCATTATGTAGGAAGAGGTCTATTTGAAAGGTGTCTCCCATAGGATGATTTAAAGTCCTGTAATTCGATAG